AAGGAATCCGTAAGAAAAGCGAATGCGAAAAGAAAAAATGAAAGAAAGAAAGAAAGAAAGAAAAGCAGAAGGTAAAAGGAAAATCAAATGAGAAAAGTGAAAAAAAAAAGTAGAATTAAGAAATGAAGAAAGAGAATTAATATAAAAGGGAAAGAATAAAAGAGAAAAAAAACAACGAGGAAAATAAGTGCAGTGTAAAAAAAAGTAATAACGAAAAAAAAAAAAGACTCACAGAAATACCATTAAAGAAAGAAAGTAAAATGAAAAATAAGAAAGAAAGAAGAGCAGAAAAAGAAATAATAGCAAAAAATAAGAAAGAAAAAAAAGAAAAGAAAAGTGTTTTTCAGGTGGCTTAAATCGTGACTTATCTCCCTCTGATGCCAAAGGTCGGGTTTCGAGCCAGAGTAAAAAATCTAGGTCTTCGAATACAGATTTTCAAGTGAGGCAACTAGTTGCTCTTTATTGGTGAGACAACCTTATTTCCGTCCGTTTGACTTTAACTCGTTGCAAGCAAACTTAGTACATCTAGAAAATAAAGAACAAGAGATGTCAAAAAAAAAAAAAGACAAAAAGAAACATATAGTGATGAAAACGAAAAAAAAATGAATTTAACAAAATAAAAAAATGAGCGAAAAAGAGCGATTGAAAAAAAAAGAAAAAAAGAAAAGAGAGAAATGAAAAGAAAGGAAACAAAATCAAAGGACACTTCATAAGAAAAAATACAGGAAGTGCCATTAACAAAACTTTTAGTGTTTAAAGAATAAAATGATTCAAGAGGTAAAATTAGAGCCAAAACTAAGAGAATATATCAAAGGGTAGATGTTGAAATTAAGAAAAAAAAGCAGAAAGATAAGAAAATGTAAGTAAAGTGTTAAGTGACTGCTAAATAATTAAAAAAAAAAAGAAAGAATACAAAACGGTAAAATAGAAAAGAAAGAAAAGAAAGAAAGAAAGAAAGAAGTGAATGGGATAAATATGAAAAATCGATAGGGGATGAAAGAAAGAAAGAAAGAAAGAAAGAAAGAAAGAAAGAAAGAAAGAAAGAAAGACACAAATAAACAAAAAGTAAGAGTAGAATAAAAGTAAAGAAAGTAATTAGGAAAGGGTGAAAGAAAGAAAAAACGAAGCAAGTTCAGTTCCGGCTTGAATCACACGTATATTTATTTCAATATCATATCCAAAGAAAGAAAGAAAGAAAGAAAGAAAGAAAGAAAGAAGGAAAGAAAGAAAGAAAGAAAGAAAGAATGGGAGAGTGATTTAAAAAAGAAAGAATAGTAGAAAGTAAAATCGAAAATAAGAAATAAAGAAAGAAAAAAGGTAAATAGAAAAAGAAATAGCAGTAAATAAAATCGAAAATAAGAAAGAAAGAAAGAAAGAAAGAAAGATTTATAATAGAAAAAGATTAACTAAAAGTAAAATCGAAGATAAAAAAGAAAGAAGAAAGGATAACACGAAAGAAAGTAAAATTCGAGCCAAAAATAAGAGAAAATAAGTGATTCGATGGTGAAATTTAAAAAAAAAATGAAAGAAAAATTAGCTGAAATAATAAATCAGAAGAACAAGAAAAAAATAAGTGATAAGTGAATGTTAAATAATTGGCAATGGAAAAAAACGTATACAGATCTTTTTTTCGTCCTGGAGAAAGAAAGAAAGAAAGAAAGAAAGAAAGAAAGAAAGAAAGAAAGAAATGAAAGAAAGAAAGAAAGAAATGAAAGAAAAAAAAAAGACGGAAAGAAAGAAAGAAAGAAAGAGCCAATGTATTTAACACGTAGTAGCAGACTATGGCTGTCCAACACTGACACGCGAACGTCATTTTTTTTTCTCTCTCATCGGCCAGGGATGTTATTGTATAACAACATGAATGAAATGGTCGACGCTAGTTGTTGTTGTTGTTGAATTAACGCTGGAATTGGTGAAGGAAAGAAGAGACCGGCAAAGAAATATCTGAAAAAGCAGTCAATAAGATTGGAGAGGCAAAACGAATGCTGGGTGGTTGGATGAAGAATACAGAGAATGAAATAAAGTGTGAGGGCAGTGACCCTGTACAGGTTAACTCGCTTTCCCCTACCCTATATACCTCTCTCTCTCTCTCTCTCTCTATCTATCTATCTATCTATCTCACACACACAGACTCATGCTCTCGTAGCTCTCCACAGCTTCTTGTTCCTTATAGCGCCAAGCGACGATTGACTCTTTTTTTTTTTTTTGACCACCCATCTTAGTCCTCACACTGCCATTTACACAAACTCATTACACGCGGTTTCCATCTGCCCGTCCGGCTTTCAATATGTCCGCTAAGTGTTAAATTTTCCAAGCCATCTTTCCTTATTAATTACACCAGAAATTTCAACTTTTCTTTTCTTTCTAGCTTACGGCCACATCACGTTGAAAGACCGGTTCCGCATCACATTGCAACAACGTACGATTACCGAAGTTAAGCAACATCGAGCCTGGTCAGTACTTAGATGGGTGACCGAATGGAAATCCCAGGTGATGTAAGCTTGGATGTGCTGGCCGTGTAGTGGATAATGGTTCGGAATTGTTCATCAGAGAACCAAGTTCCAATTCCAGTTGGGTTCGTTATAATAAAAAAAAAAGTATAAATCAACCTCTTGGCTAATTAGCAAGACTTGTATCACTAAATCACTATTATCTAAAAAAAAAAATAATAATCTTACAATTTAAAAAAAAAATAATGTCAGGCTTTAAATAACCTGTAAAGAGTTGATAAACTGTAGAAAATAAATCAACCAATCAAATTTTTTTTTTTTTTTATTGTCGATTTTCTTCAAAACTTCCTTCTGGCTCATATGTTCAGGCTATGGTATTCTTATCATCCGTCTGTGGAATCCCGTTTCTGTTGCCTCAGATCATTCCTTAACCAAATGCCCTGCATTCCTGAACAATTTTAACCCTTCTGCCTCAGCTCCTGAGTCAAAATCCGCAAATAATTGGTATGTAATGTTTCACGGTAGATATAAAAATAGTTAAGTGCTTACCCACTGGCCATTACGTCATTTTTCGCTACCACCGGTAAAGTCGTGGTCAGGGGTGAAAGGGTTAATCTGCGGGAAAATTGTCATCTAGGAGGACAGTACCTCGACCTGGTGTAATGGTTAGCAAGCTTGTATCGCTAAAACAATTATGATTGAGTAGTGAAAATAACATTAGCTAGCGTAGAGAAACTACTTCTCCGCGACCAAATGCGCTGGACAGGTCATCCGGCACGTATAGAGGATGGTAGCTTGCCCAAAAGACTTTTTTATGGTGAGCTGGTGCAAGGTAATCGACCCACTCATAAGCCAAAAAAATAAACTTTTGAAGGATGAAGTTAAATGTAACCTAAAATCTTCAGCATTAACCCCCCCCTCTTGGGGGTTAATGCTGAAGACTGGGAAACTGTTGCTAGAAATAGATCTGGTTGGAGGTTGATTTGGGAACGTTGTAACAATTTTGATCTTAAGAGAATTGAGCATTCCAACAAAAGGGACGCCATTTTGAAGGGAGAAAACCGAATACTTCCGAGAGCTATCAGGACACCAACACAGTTGCAGTATTTGTGGATAAGTCACCCTCTCGGTGGCTGGTTTAGCCAGTCATATCAGATCACACCAGAGAGATCAGGTGCAAACTCCTATAAATGCAGCCCTAGCAGAAAGAGCTGCAGGTTACTTATACGAGTTTTGTGACAAAATTTTAAGACTTTTGCATGACTCAAACATCAAATGATTTTACAAAAAGACAAGCAAGTTTCTAGCATAGGTAACACAGACAAACTTTATGTTTACCACGTGTTTAAGAGAGGTTGTAAAAGTGAAGCTGGCCTTAAGAATCACTTACGGGCCCATAGCAGAGCGTCAGCTCAGGTATAAATGATGGAAATAACTAAATTCTGAATGAAAAACACAAAAAAACTATCAAATGAAGAAATGGTTTTCTGCAAATAAGTGACAATAAACATGTAGATTTTCTTAAAAAACACAAAGGCACAGAATAAATTGTACTTATTGTTGTTCTGTTTGTGTTGGTTGCTTTTGCTCATCATTGACTTCTAGGTAATGTTTAACATTCGTGGCAGTAAAAAAAAAACCCAAAAAACCAAAAAACAAACAAAAAAACAAACAAAAAAACGGTCTGTGAAAAGGACGGTTTTTCCGTTGACACCGCAATTATTTTAACTAAGACATAAAATATTAAGAAAACCAACTTTCCAGGAAGTTACGTTTCTAAATATTTTATGCCTTAAATTTCACTCCATTTCCTTTCTGCGAAAATTGCATTGAACGCTTTTTTCAAAAGATTTTTAAAATTATATATATATATATATATATATATATATATATATATATATATATATATATATATTAGCAGTATAATCCGCCTTCCACCGGGGCTTTCATTACTGGGAATTTTTATCGTTCCATTGGAGCAGTTTAAATTTAAAATCAGCCCACCCGAAAATCAATATTAGTAACAACAATTGGCTGCAACTGAGACACATCCCCAAATGGGGTCTTAACAGTTTGAATGTGGAGTTTCTTGTTTCAGCCTCACGCGCAGCAGCAGCTGAAGAGGCATTTCTCCTCAACCGTTAAGTCCTTTGATCAGCAATTTCAGCCTCACGCGCAGCAGCAGTTAAAGAGGCGTTTCTCCTCAGCCGTTGAGTGCTTTGATCAGCAGTTTCAGCCTCACGCACAGAAGCAGTTAAAGGGACGTTTCTCCTCAGCCGTTGAGTCATTTGATCACCAATTTCAGCCTCATGCACAGCTGCAGTTGAAGAGGCGTTTCTCCGTTGATTCCTTTGATCATCATTTTCAGCTTCGCGCGCAGAAGCGTTTAGTTATGCTCTTCTGGAAAGCCGATATCTACGTTGATCTTTGCATCCAGTGGATCTTTTCTTTGGTGTTATGTCTTAGGCAAATATTAATTGTCAAATGGAATTCGTGGGCAAATAGAGAACGCTGTAAAGGTACAGGGATCACTAAGCTCGAATAACTTTAGGAAAGGTTGGAAAAATAAATGTTGAGTACTAAAAAAGCAAGCTTACTTATTACTACGATGAATGCAATGAAAAAACTGGCAGGACAATAAAAAAATAAATTGAGAGCGGCTATAAAACGACAATGAAAGCAACACCTTAAAACTATAGTAGTAGGCTTTATGCAACGGAAAAATTAACCTCTCTTGAGAGAGATTGAATTCTTGGTCAAGAGGAGGGCAATGTGTAATTTGGACTCAAACCCGGCACTGAAGAATTATCTATCAAACAAAAAAACTGTGAAAACGCATGAACAACATCCGATCAAACAGACATACATGCATACACACACACATACATTTCGTGAATTATAGATATAGATATTATTGTAATAATATAAAGTATTTATTTTTATTAAAGTTTTTATGAAAGATATATATCCAAGAGCAGATAGTAAATAGTAAAACGTTGATGAGAGTTATAATGGAAAGGAAGTAGTGGAGAGCCATAGTCGCCAACAATTTGGACTCAAAACTGTCACTGAAAAATTATCTATCAAACAAAAATGGGATGAAAACTGTGGAAATGCATAAACAACATCCGATCACACATACACACACGTACACATACATGAACACACATTTTGAGAATTATATATTGTTGTGTATGATACACCTAATTTACATAAGCGGACTACCGACCATATAAATATGGGTTGGTACCGGAAGACGGGGAAGATAGTAGAGATTAAGAAATTGAATCCAGAGACTCTGCCCGACTGCGATTTAGTCAACCCATTATGCAGGAACAGTCTTCCCAAGAATATACCAAACTAACTGTAAATATTTTTGTACCTATTCTTTTGTTTCAATACATTTTGTTAACGTACATTTTGTGTTGTATTATTCCATGCTTATTTAAGCTTCAACATATATATATATATATATATATATATATATATATATATATAAGTGGACACTGAGGTCAAAACTGAGTGGCGACAGTCTGTTTAGCGCTTGATGGCAAAGCAATACGATAAAGCATGAAACAGACTGTTGGTACTCGGTGTAGACCTCAGCGTTAACTTTTATATTTATATATTGATAAGATCTGATAGCGGGACGTGGTGGTCATTTCAATAGAACACTGACACACCCAATCCATATTCCTTGTAAATTCTAATTAAGTCCGCGCGATCAACACATTTTGTTCAAATCTGAGATCATTTGAGCGGGAATTGGCTATGCTATTAAACTATGAAATGATATCAGTTTTAACACCTTGTATTTTAAACTTTTAGCTTATTTTAAGCATTAGCTTATGTTTTAACTATTTGTATGCATGTAACGAATGCAAGAAAAATAATGAAAAGCTCAATCACAGTGCTTTAAACTTATATATATATATATATATATATATATATATATATATATATATATATATATATATATATATTATATATATAAATATAAAATGGATATAAATCCGACAGAATGAAGAAAATATCTGGAAAAACAAATAAAAATCCTTAGAATGTGATTATGTTGTTTTAATATGAATGAAATGTCGACGTCTGATGTTTCGGTTTAATAACCTTCTTCAGGACAATATTCATTAAAAATACAATTAACATAATCAGTATAACACGACGAAAACGATGGACATAAAAACAAGTCTTATCCAAAACAGATGAATGAAAATTTTAAATGATCAGCTTTCCGTTTGAGCGTGGTCACGTTGTCGTCAAATGGGCGACGCTTTCAAAACGTATTCTTAAAATATTTTTTTTTATAAAATTTGATTCCGATGGAAAGATTTTTCATATATACAGTTCGTTAGAAAATCTTTTCTGTTCTTGTAGGAATACGCGGAGACTAGTAGATTCTTGTATCTTCGGATAAGCATGCAGTCCTCCATGTAATAAAATGAATTCAGGTTTGTATTTTCAGTGGACAGTATGATAAGCAAAAATAAATGGATATAAATCCGAGAGAATGAAGAAAATATCTGGAAAAACAAACAAAAATCCTTAGAATGTGATATAGAATAGAAGGTTATTAAACCGAAACGTCAGACGTCGACATTTCATTCATATTAAAACAACATAATCACATTCTAAGGATTTTTGTTTGTTTTTCCAGATATTTTCTTCATATATATATATAGTCATCCACAGACAGACTGTTTCGCTGTAAACAGATTATCAGTGTGGATAGACGTCCGGTTGCCTCTAGTTAGGATCGAAACCCGGCTGAACTGGCGTCAGTCGGAGATTTTAACCCAAAGCCGTAGGAAGAAGGTGAATTTAAGTGTATTCATTTTTCGATAAACACACAGTGACTGAGAGAACTCGATTCGATTTACCGAAAAGTCATACATTATTATATATATTCGACTCTCCCGTCGTATGAGGGTCAAGCAGCTCAGTTCCTGGGAACTGACAGCCCAGACACCAGCCCATATGATTTGATTATAGTGGTGAAGGCTTTGTGCAGAACCAATGACACTTTTTCAAGGGCCGA